CCTTTCGACGATGCAGCTCTTTGACCAGTTTGACAATTCCGGACTCTATGACGGAGATTGAACCACGCTCATTTTGCGACTGCAGCTCTTTGATCAGTTTGACAATTCCAGCCTCTGTGACCAAGATTGGATCATCTGCCTTTCGAGATTGTAACTCTTTGACCAGTGTTACAATTCCAGACTCTGTGACCCAGATTGGACGTGACGCCTTTAAAGGTTGCAGTTCCTTGATTGCACTTGGAAAAGGCCGCAAGCTATGACAGAGATTGAAGAATGCCTCATTGGTGGCCGCGATGCACCGTTCCGTCGCTTCGTCGATGGAAAGGCTTTCCAAACACGCGGCCACATGCACCACCATGCAGGTCGATGTCCGATGCCATGTGGTCCGAAACCGAAAAAGGGCTCGCTGCGTCGATGATCGCGACATCGAAGCACCATCCAACTCCGAACGGTGCTGGAACACCACCCGCCGACGGCTCATGGAGCCTCCTATGGCGTCCGGTTTCCAAGTGACGGGGACGCCAGAAGGTACCCAGTGCGGACCAATCGACCCAAAACTCTTGGGCCATTCAGAGGTTGAATGACCCGAACTATATAGGCTATTCCATAGGTCATTCAAACCCAAGAGGTTTGATATAGCTCCAACACCAACAGAGGTTGAATGACCCTATATAGGCTAACTAGGCTATCCCAGTTGGGTACCCCAGGTGATGGGTCCCATATGGTCACTTAACCTGAAGACCAGCTGCTTCCGTTCGTCAATGGGTTCTGCACAACCCTATAGGACGTACATCTGTACGGTCGACAGGACACCCAGACAGTGTTTGCGCCGGTAGGTAGGTTTCCACATATATTCTACACCTAAAAACTATGATAACTATGACAAGTTGGAAAGCTTAAGGTTCACCATGGTTCACCTTTTGGATGTTCCAGCGGCATCGGGAGTCAGCTCAGGACCGTAACCAGTGCACCTCTATGGCCAACACCTTGGTGGTCTATGCTCGCCTCTACTACGAGTCCTGCCTGCTCGGCTGCGTGGGATACAGGGCTGGGATGCGGGGCTGGGACTGATCCTCCTGGCAAGCACCCTGTAGTACGGGAGTCCCGAAAACACTCGAATGCCTGGGGCACGGGTGGCAATCCACCATACCCTACAAATCCAAGTAGCTTCTCAGAAGGTGATTGGAGACACTGTTATGTAGGTTTGGAGGGTCCAGTCGTACCTTCTGAGAAGGTACTTGGATCCCTGAAAAAATATATATATATATATATGGCCTGCATGAATCCCGAACATGCCGTCTGGCCGCTCACTGTCCCTGCATGGTGTTTTCCTCGAGCCAGATACATGAAAAACACCTTCCCATCAAGTTCGGGCTCAGGGCTATTGAGTCCACAACCCCAAGCAAATCACATCAAATCACAAAGCTTCGGGGAAAGGGG